TAATGTGTTGACACTCACTGGGTTGTGACAATATCTTCAGAACTGAAACTTAGTCTTGATTCCGAGCTAGAACAATAAATATTTATTATTAGCCACCATTACATAAATTTTACTAATTACATAAATCTAGTTTATATCCAATAATACCTACAACTTGGAATTAATTTTACATTTGTTCGAAAATATATTTAAGGTAAGTAGTGCTAGAAAGTTTTGTTGATTACCTTGACTGGCGTTCCTGAAACAAATCTGCTTGATACAACTTTGGAAGTGTCCCTGGGCTGAGGTATTTTATGCCATTGCTTCGCAATGTTATATCGCTTGGATCAAAATGTTCAGAACACACAACGGCTTTTGAATTCAAAAATGTGCTCTCATCAAAATTCAAGAACCCAAACCATATTTTTTGCCTGGCCTGGTCCTAAGGAAATCTAAAATAAAGTACATAGTTGCGTTAATGATTCAATGTTCATTGATTGAAACCAAATATTGCAATTGAAATTTAAATTATTAATTGGTATTGTAAGCACGAGTCGCTACTGATCGGTTACCGGTTGTAAAATAGGTGGATTCTAAAATGACTATTATACTTACGGATGAAACGATAATTCCGGGCTATCCTGTTCAGATTTTTTGCAGATCACGCAACTAACACTCATTATAATGTATTTAGATGCACTTATTTACAAAATAACTTAAAAATATACTTAAAACAGCTATAGTAAACACCGTAGTAGGGGAAAGTAGGGGAACACAAAAGGAATAGTTGTCTTTTTTTTTGTGAATGAAAGAAAGTTTGGCAAGACGTTCGTTCGGTGTTGCCATCGTCACAGAACAATCATAATGTATTCAGAATAATGCAGATCGGCGCACTGCTAGAGAACGACAAGGCTTAACAATTTACTCTTCAAAAGTCTACACACTTCAATTATCTACATTATAAACATTTCAAAATCATTTTAAAACTTTTTTTCGCTTGGTTTAAGCACATGTTTAGTTCTGTACTTCATATGAAAGAAACGGCTCATATCATAACCGGCATTACCGCAATTTCGTGTCTTGATGTTGGCTGAATTTCAAATGTAAACAGTTACCCCTGTGATTTAAACACCAAAACAATTTTAACAGAAAAGAAGAAATTACGGCACTCAATCCAGATTGGAAGCGCGTTTTGCGCCAAACAGCATGTGCGCCGAAGCGTTGGAATCCCCACCCATCCCCTACGCATGAGCACACACGGCTGGGCTGCATAAATACGACTTGGAATCCAGCAGTTGAATCATTCTTAGTCGGAAAGCACGGGAGATCACTTCGCCCACTGCCGCATCGCCTTTGAAAATGTCCACCGCAGTTGTGGACGAAACGTCAGGAAGAAATTCCGATAGACCACGGCTTCAAAGCCCGGAAAACATTCCTAAATGTAACATTATAAAGATTTGTAATTTATTAATGAGGACTTTATATGCGGCTCGCCAAAAAAACATTAATTGGCCCGTTTATTATAAAGGTTGCTCACCCCTAATTTAGACTATTAGTGATTCTTTTCTTCCTTTTCATTTACGAATTTACACTTATTATATTACACTGGCACTGAATTTAAAATATATTTTCCAGAAATCAATTATAATAAAAATAAAACAATTTTTTGTTTTGCGGATTATTTGGCGCCCCGTTGTGAGTTACGTCCGGACATGATGCCTCCCCTACGCCACTGCAATCAGATCATGGACTTGCACATGGATTATTAATCAAAGTTGAAAATAAGAACAAAAACAGATCACATGTGTTTATTTCATCTAAAAACTAGTTGGCATCGCCGCTTTCACATTATCTTTAATCTTCGAAGTTTAAATTCAAAGCTGCGCAACTTTTAGTTTCAATTCAGTTGTTCAGTACCAGACCAGAAAGTAGAGTATCGACTTCGGAACGACAGTGTTAAAGTTGACTCGTTCTGTGTTTCTGGTTGTTCGGTAAGCAGTAAGTTAAGCATAAACAGTGCAGTTGCATCAAGAAGCCGCACTCAGCATTTGGCGTAAGTACTTTTGTAAGTATGTTAATAAATTACATGCAGACTTGCAACTTATCAGATTCACGCGTTGTTTAAGCCAGCATTTTATCGGCAAGTAATTAATATATTATGTTGTTTTGTCGATTTATGATTATAAAACGAGTTACGGCCGCAAATGGTCACAGAAGTACAATCTTTCTTCATCAAAGATTATTCACTGATAAAACATTTTTTTAAACTGACTGCGATTATAGTGTAATTGCACAAGATGACTGCAGATGTTACAAAATATGCAAATTAATATTTTGTAATTGTTTATAAATGCTGATTTGCACAACAATTTTTTTTTTCTTGGTAGGTACTTTGTGCCAGATAGTATCTAGCGGTTCATCGAAAACGGAATTGTTGAAAATATATTTCAACACATTATATAATTACAATTAGTTTCAAATTTAATTTCCTACACATCAGATTTGGATATAGATATATCCCACGTTTGGAAAGTGCAGAAATAGACACATCATTCACATTTCACCTAAGGTAAAGAGTGTTTGTAAATTCTGCTATCTTTATCAAAAAATACCGAAAAAAGAGTATATTAATAAATTGTTAAAGAAAGCTTAGTAAAAACATACATGTAAAACGATGTGCTCTGAGTTCGTTTTTTAACAAATTGACAATTTTTCTTGTAACAAAAATTTATTCAAAATGTTAATTTCAGTCAAAAACGATTTAAATTACATTAATGTATAAAATATCTACAGAAAATCGTACCACAGTTTTCTGGATTTCACATCAATATTTAACGTAATTTGTGTTATCCAAAAGTCGACGAATTTCAGAATAACAAGAAAACAGAGATCAAACTTAAGGTTAAAAAATTAAAAACGAATTATTTTGGTTGTAAATCTATTATCGAAACAAAAATTTATATTGAAAAGTAATTTTGGAGCGAAAATAAAAAAATCCGTTAATATTTTTATGCACATAGAAGAGGGCTTTGTCAGACGTATACTGTATGTTTACATAATTTCATGCTCTACGTAATATGAATTGCTCCAAAATATGCGCTTAACCTATGTTCGGCACTTGATTTTTTTGTCAAATAAATTTAGTAAGAACTTTCGGTATCAGAACAAAATCAGTTTTAAATTGGTTGCAATTAAATCTCTTAATTTATCTAAAGTTAATTTTTGCCCATATCATCCTCTACCTTAAATATCATTTACTTTGTTGAGTTCTAGTAAAGATACAAAAATACATACTATACATGCTGGTATTAATTGTATTATGTGTTTTAGAACATTACAATATTCAGGGGTTGAGTTTAACATTTTTTTATATAAAAAAACGTTATTTGTGTTGGTACTTGGTATCCACTTATGTTGTAAATACAAATAGCGAAAAAGTAGAGCTAAAATTTCCTAAGAAAATTTCGATTTAAAATATACCGACACTTGGTTACCTACTTGATCGATGTAAATAGTGAAATATTCAAATATATTCCGAAACCAAGCGATCGTTAAAATTTTAATGAATATTCTTCAAAAAGGTTTAATACCTTAGCAGGTTAAACTAGATCCTCATATATGTATTACGCATCTATTGTGTAATGATCTATTCTGTTCTATGTAATCAACATAATTTTAATAAGTATGTTAAATTACTGGGTCATTGAAATTGGACCAGTCATAAATTAAAACTGATAAAAATATATGTCTCGAAAAACAAATCCGAAAATATATATTTAGCCTTATTGCATTGCGAACGATAGCAATACAAATGTTTTATGTGAAAACACAATTTTTCTGATATTCTGTGCAAATTTGCTTCTATTTTTACGTTTTTTAGAGAAAATATAACGCCTAGAGAAGAATTCCTACTATTTTTTAACTTGCATATTTGCCATCTCTTTGCATTATGAAAGCACATTTTATGCTTTGGTGTGCTTGAATACTAAAAAAGCAATTTTCTTATAATACCGACTATTTTACAATCTCGCATTTCCCATTCTTACACAATGGTAAATCGAATAAAGGCAATTGAAGGGTCTAATGCAATAACTGAATAAGTCCAATTTTTACGTAAAATGAGTTAGCAACGCGATATCATAGAGTTCGAAATGCTCCGTCGGACCATCCAAGACCAGGCATCTAGCTATGACTGTTAAAATTTTATGCGGGTTAATTGGGGTGCATATCTAGTGTACTGTGCAAAAAGAAGCTAAGTTTTGGACGTGGCAGGTTCTTGCATCACACTGGATGTTTAGATGGTAAGTTCCGGCGCATGTTCGTGTGCGTTTTGCGTTATTTTCGTTGGTTTTAATGTTTTCTTTCGTTCAGTTTGTTTTTTACATGTTATTTATACATTTATTATATTTTTTTAAATTGTTGAACTTAGAAATGTTTACATAAAAAACCCTCAACAAAAAATAATAAATTTACTTACAAATTTTACTAAAAATAAGAAAGTTGTACAATCGGTGTCGCTGTCCGATCTTGAGGTAAAGTTATATAATGGAAGAAGGCTACTTAAGAACAACAACATGGATCATGTGATGAATTGAGCAAAAAGCTATGTACCTCAGTGTGACCTTTGGTTTTACAACCAGATCGAGAAATATTATAAGTCTTAATAGAACTTAGTGTTGATTCTTCTGCGTCAGGATTCAACAGCGATAAATAAAAAATATAATGTCCCACTCAAGCTGTATCTTTAGTTTGTATTCAATCATAATGTATCCAATTAATAAAAAAATTCGACGAGGTAGTGTTGGATTTATTACTATATCCCAGGAAAGAACCAAAAGAAAGGTGCAAAACCTCTGCAAGATTTAACTAAGTCTATTTTTTTTTACAATTTTGAGCATATAAATAATGGTGAACGTAATATGGTTGCTTATATGTATTGCTTGATCAAAAATGTACAGCGCATTTGACGTTTTTAACTTTTAAATAATTTCGTTTACAAGTAAATAGTTTTTTGTTTTCTGAAAAATTTGCAGTACTGGACTTGGTCGGTTATTGCATTGGACCCTTCAATCGCTACATTTCTGTACTGGTATAAATATAATTCTCTTATCTCAGCACCGTGCATGGTCGTGTTGATCCTGCGGTCTCCGGCTGTGGACGTTATTATACAGGGTTATTCACACTATAAGGCACGAAAGTTTGCTGCTAAAGCCCGTGTCCTATGCGTCTGTTTGTACGATGATACGATGGTACGAAAGTGTTTCTATTGGTTGGAGATCTGTCAATTCGTACGACGACGGACAAACTGGCACGGGCTTTAACCGTTTGATTTCTAAAGAGTATTATTTGATGAATTGATTGAATGCGCAAAATAAGTGTTTGTGTTTTAATAAGGTTTATAATACCTAAATCGTAGGGTTATTTAAATAATCCCAATTTTATCAAAATCTAACCTAATTTTCATATGTCAAATTCTTTAGAATTTTTTAATGTAAGCGTAATTGGTAGTGAAGGGTAACAAGAAACAATATTTATATCCCCATGATAATTAACTTAATATGTTATACAGGGTGTCCACAAATTTAAACTAATGAAATAACAACTTTAAGTGGCTATAACTTGATTAATTTAAATACATCCCCGTATTATTATGGCATTTACAGATGTAAAATCATTTACTTTATTTGTCAGTTTAGTCTGCAAAATATTTTTTTCTAGCCAGAGGGGTATTTTTTTTGTAATTGTAGACGTGTTGGTCGTTATTCTAATATTAATTATTGCGGTGCTTAGTGAAAATGAAGAATTATCCAAAAGGAGAGCGTATTAACATGATTTTCACCCTTGGATAATGTCATAAAAATTGTTTATTGGCTTCTCGAATTAATGCTCAAAAGTTTCCTGAAAGAAATCATCCTAAGCCAGCCGTTTTTAAGGCTTATCACACCAGTTTGAGGAATGTGGGAGTGTCAATTATAAAAAACCCATTAGAAGGAAATCTGTCACTGAAGATGAGAAAACGTTTTCACGGTAATTGGTTCAGTTACCGAAAATCACAATATTAGTCAAAATATAATATTCAAAATTACTAACATTAGTCAATCAAGAATATCCAGAATTATAAAAAATCATAACTTATCCTTATAAAATTCAACTTTGCCAATAACTTTATGGACATGATTTTGAAAACCGAACTGAGTTTTCCATGTGGGTGTTAGATAAACTGGCAGAAAATGAAAAGTTTTTCGAAAATGTGTTATTTAGTGATGAATGTACTTTTCATAACAATGACCTTGTGAATAGACGCAACTCTGATTATTATTCTGATACGAATCCGCACGAATACAGGGTCATGAAAAATCAAGATAGGTGGTTAGTTAATAGCGCCCCATACACGGGCAGATTATCCGTACAGTTCAGATACGTAGAGTTTGATTCGACAGATCCAGATCGGACGAATTAAATCTTTTTCTGTCCACTAATTAACGTACCAAGCACGAGTGCCGATTCTTCCAGTCGGATTGGAGGTATCAAATTCGTCCGTTAGTGGAGTGAAATCTTACGTTTCAGACAGACTTGGTCGGGCGCGTGTTATTTCAAGTGAACTGAAAGATCTGGTCGTGCAGAGGCAGATTAGTTAAACTAAGTGTTTAAAATGCGAAGCAAGAGACGAATAGCTATTGCTTGCGCTGGCATCATAGTGGGTTCAGAAAATCTACGCAACAAAAGTGAGAAGAAAGTGGGTAGACTAGAGACTATAGATTGGAAGGGCGTCGGCAGCCATAAGAAAAAATTCGGCAAAAAAAATTAAATCGAATGCACGCTGGGATCTTTTATAAACACGTTGTTATTAAAACAATTAAATATATAATTATAGAAAAACAAACAAACGATACAAACCGAACGAATTAAAACCAACGTTAAAAAGGCAAATTGATCTACCACTTTCTTAGTGAAATACTGCAAATTCTGAGAAACATACATATGTGTTTTGTGCACACTAATCATTAGGTACCTTTTAGTTAAACCCCGGCTGTTCTGGGCAACTTATTTTGT